CGATTTATATAGTCATAATTATATAAATCATATCAAATTATATGAAATTTAAATTTAAATTATATACATTAATTCATATTAATTATTATTTAGATCATATTAATTATTATTACATAAATTATATTAAATTATGTCAAATTTAAATTCAAATCATGTCATGGAAAGCCTAAGACATCATTTTTACATATTTAAAAAAATTTGTTTTAGGGAAATTACTTTAAGGATTTAAAATTATTTGTTTGATGTGTATGTATACACATATGTATACTTATCACACACTAGATTTATTTCTTTAAACTGAAAAATCTCGACAAAACGAAACGAGCGCACCGGAGGCGCAATTTAGCTGTCAATGCGGTTTCCCGCGAGACAAACGCGAATCGCCAGTTACGTCTGTCCGTCAAAAATTTTTATCCTCAATAGACCTAACCTGTCCTGCTCCCAATTGTAATCCGTCGAAAAATCCTCCAAAACGTCAAGCACACTCCGGACGGCAAAGGACTGCTCAAGTCGAAATATCCTAGAAGTCATACAACTAAGACATCAATGCAATTATGAGAGTGTTCAAGAACGATCTGCTGAGATGGACCTGTGAGAGACACGCTACCGGCTGTCTCCTTGACAAGCATCTCCTACGTGACAAGGCCCTCGAGTTAGCCCATAAGCACGGACTGACCAGCACGTTTCCACCATACATTCTCGTATTATTTGAAGGGTTCGAAGCACGATCGGGGAGTTAATCTGACAATTCCCGCGGGTTATTCATTTTCGTATCGCGATAATCGAAGGGATAATAGCTACTCGCGATGGCGGTATTGAATGTTCCATTTAATTCAGGGGAACAGTGTCTTTTCTCATTAAGATATTTATTTTATTCTTTTTTTAGAAAGAATAATGTTTGTCCTCTATTTTTTTATTCTATATGGAATTAATTTCGGTATTCAAATATGTAAGATATTCTATATATATGGAGCAACACATCCAAATGTCATAAAAAGTTTATATTAATAATAAAAAAAATACGTGTGTGTATCGTAAATAATATTTGCAGTATATAACATTTCATCGCGTTTAAATATCTTTTCTTTTTAATTTTCGATTAGATTTTAAATGTTCTGAGAAATGGCTAACATCTTTCCTGAAGAAGTATGGCTTCTTGTTAAATTCGAAGAAATCTTCTGGACCAATCTTCAATAATTACCGTCTCTGGATCGATATGATGCGATCCATCATCACACAGTATAAGCATAAAGATCTCTTCCATGTAGATGAGTTGATGATGTATTCGGACGTTCCACCTATCGAAATATCAGCATCAAAAATACGGCAAGATGAATCTGATACGAACTTGGAAAAAACGACAATACTGTTGTGCTGCAATGCCTCTGGTACCGAGAAGTTACCACTATTGATCTGCGGTTCTTATCTCGCTGTGATAATGGGCAAGGATCATGTATATAGTCACAGTGAAGACGCCTCGATAAATGACAGTCTCTTCAGAGAATGGTTGATCCAATTGAACTATCTTATGTCGAACAACGATCGCAGAATCCTGCTACTTTTGCATAGAAATCGTATCGACGCTCTTCGAGATCTCAAACTGAGCAACATTAAACATATCTTTTTTCCTGATGACTTTCCTCCAACGTTGAGGCCTCTGAAGAGAGATGTCTTCCATTTCGTGAAGATGACTTACAGAAGCAAGTAATGTTCATGAAAAGATGACTAATTGTTTTTAAAATTACAATCAAAATTAAAATATTCTGCAAAATTTTATTAACTTTTAACATAATATAATTGTTTCTAAATTATAAATTATTTTGTGACGAATTTTATCATCTCTTGCAGCATGAGTAAAATAGAAACAGTTACAATTAATTTATGAGGTTATGAAAGATTATAAATTTATTATGTATAAAATTCATTACAAATATTTATAATTTAGAAATTATCACAATTGTTTATAATTTAAAAACAATTATTATGCTAATAACTGATGAGCAGAATATTTTAATTCATAATTAAAATAATAATTATATTATAATATTATAATAATTCATTGATCCTTCTAAATCTTTTTCATTTTTATTGCTATATTAAGATATTAACAATCAATAATTTTAAAGCTTTAAAGTTTGAAATAATAAAATAAAGATTTCCATGCGTTTCGTACAAAAAATGCAAAAGGGCTATAAATCCGAAGCAATCTATAATAATAACTTTGTTTGTAAAATATGAAAATAATAAGACGTAAAACTGTTAATGAAAATTCTGTGAAATTTTCAGAATTTCTCTTATCACGTTGAAATTACTTGTGGAAAATACCTCTTGTTAATAAACAGGAGTTCGCGCTTCAAAGACTTAATTATCTCGCCTATAAGGAACTGTAGGAAATATTCGTCGTAGGTATGTAGAAGGAATCAGAGAACGTAGACACCGATGGAACGTCGAGAACGTAGTGAAAAGCTTGGTGGAAGCGTGGCGGCAAGTTCCGCGTGATCTCATTATCGCCAGTTTTCAGCGCACAAGCTTTCGAACCGACGATTGCTTACTGGAAATCCGTTGCGATGCATGGGAGGATCTGGAGACGGGGATATCTTTCAGGAAATTCGTCACATTCGACGATTATCTCACAGCTAATGCATCGCAGAAACAGTGCGAGTCTACTAGCAGGAATCACAATTATAATCTTAGGATTCGAATCTCTAAGGAAGCCGATAAATTCAACAATCTGTTCAATTTTGCTATCAGTTCAAAGGAAAAAGACTCGATTGTTGATTATGCCTTAGTGAATAAAATTTCTAAAATAACTTATGAGAAAAAAGATATTGATTGGAAGAGAAGAAACCCGTTAAAGAGATCGCATGACAAGGCTCAATTAAACGAAGAACTTTCTGAGGCTAAGCCCAGCAATGAATCAACGTCAAGGGAAAATGAAGATATCGCCATTATTTCAATGTCAGAGAGGCCTTCGAAAGTCGTCGACATTCAGCTCGAAAGTATAGCTCGAACTTCTAAATCCGATGATGTCTACTTGACGCAAGCGAGCGAATCCAGGACAAATACAGAATATAAAAGTGAATGCGATAAAACAGTCAACAATGAGGAGAGATGTAAAAATAATCGAGTATCGAGCAACGAGCGATCAATCGAATCTCCAAAGGTTGACAATGTGAATGATAACGATATCGCGTCGCAACAAGTGTTCAACGATATATCTGCCGTTGATTCACAATTAGATATAAAGGAGCTAAATGTGAAAGTGATTTCCTGCTCTTTCCTGAGAGACGAAGTCGAGGAGGCCGATCTGGACGGAAATGTCAAGAATTCCTCACGGAAGTCGTTGAAAAGACGTTCCGATGAATCTCAGAGTAATACTAGCGATGAACCAGAGCGGAAAAGATTGAGATCTGATTCTGACTGGATGAAGCAGTATGAGACGACGTTCGTCTTCGGTCCGTTTGACGTAGCGCGAACTGTAACTACTGTTTCCGCCGACACATTCACGATTAGTGATAGTGGTGTACCACAATTGAGACCAAGGCGTTCGTGCGAGACGGAGAGGAGTATCTTCACTATAAGTCCCAGGAGAGATTAAACGTCATTTTATAGTGAGTGAATGTACTTGTAAACATGTTCCTTGCTGTAAATGTATTCTTTGAAAAAAGGAACAAGACAACAATCATAATATAATTATCTTAAGTTGTTGCGTTGAAAAGTGATACACTTCCATCCAAAATTAGCAACTTTTCAGTAGAGCATTTTTCAAATTCTTTTTAAATTTTAGAACATTTTAATTAAGATAATGATATAACTTTATTTTCTTTCCATGTTATTATACTTTTAATTATCATATAATATGTATTCTTTAAAATTATATTATGAGTTATTTTTCAAAATTCGACCAATGCAGCCTTAATATAAAATTATATTTCGTTCCTTATTAGAATTATGATGAATTGATATTTTTATTGATATAAGCAATGTATCGACAAAAAATCGTGCGTTTTATCACAAAAATATTATATTAGTTTCTTTGTAAGTCAATTTTTATATTTTCTAAATATTAATTTTTTATTTATGTCACATTTCTATCAATGCAATATATATAAAATATTTTAAAATTTTATAATGAAGATATAAAAAGCAATAAATAATAATTTGTTGATCAACATTTTCATTTTTTATTCTCTTTTTTTTATTTTTGTTCTGCTGCTTTGATAAAAATAAGTACAAAAACTAACATAGTTTTCTTAAATTTACAGAGAAAAAAAGAAATGATGAATCTTGGAGAAGTTTAAAAATCAACGGAGGATCATGTGCAATCAAATATCTAATTATATTTACAGTAAATAAGTTTAAAAAACGACAAAAATTAATGTCGCTATAAATCTTCCACATAATGTTTCTTGTCAATGAATGTATTCACAAAAAAAGACGAATTTAATTAATTATGATCAATAACGGACTAATTATTACTACGAAATAAACACTTAAACAAAAAGAAACTCTACAAATTATTATTGCAGGACATAATATAATGCCCTATGTGTACAGAAGAAGAAAAAATTCTCTTATAGTAAATTCATTTTCTCGCAATATGTCATTGAGTAAACAATATGAAACTTACAATTAGAGTTCGAAGATAATAGTTTTCCCGGTAATTCGCGAAATCACGTCCTTGCCCACGTGGAAAATTATATCGCCCCCGGAATCAATTCAGACTTGCTCTATTGTGCACTTCCGCCGATTTTCTTCGCCGAATGCAATTTCCCTGGGTCGCGTTTCCGTACGAAACAAAGTTGCGCTGTCGTCCAAAGATTCGTAACAGGCTTGGGAGGACGCGATTCCCAGACGACATTCCCAACCTTTGAATAATACGATTTGTACACCCGGCGCACATCGCTGCACGTAAGCAATGCTGAAGGATTAATGGCGTGTCGTCATAGAGGGTCGCAATAATTCACAGTCAGGAAGCAGAGAGATATTATGATTAAAGAGATAAATAGATTACTTTAGATTATAACAAAGGAAAGAAGATTTGGAATTTAAAATTATTCGATTTTGCAGAGAAAATACATTTATTTGATTATTTAATGCTGCACAGAAAATACTTTATATTATTAGACAAAAAAAGGAAACTCGGCAATATACATAGATTAAAAACACACATAACAAAATCATTTGTTTTGTATTTTAATATGTCAATTCAATACGGCACTTAATTTCAATTATTAATTACATTATTTGCTAAATAATTATCTGATATAGTAAATCTAATATAGTAAAAATCTTCATTTATCTGTTAAGTTTTTCGGATATAATTAGTTTGTTTAAAAAAGACTTCCCTTCCAAATTATTTTAAAAAACAAAAAATTATATAGACGAAAGGATTAGTGCAATTCTAAAATGCGCTAATTAGAGTTGACCTTTTTAACTTAGGACACGCTATAAAGAAGAGTGTAGATCCATCATCGCCTACTTGAATTTTTTGTGATATTGTTCCGACCATGTATGTATATTCATTATGTATATTTATCTGTATGTATATTCATTATTCAGTACTTTGTAGTGCACGTATACTTGCATGAAGACACTTAATATGCTTGCTTCTAACTGCAGACATCATTACACACAGTATATGGGCGAGATGCAATTTATCATCGTGCAACTTAGCAACCGTCGTCATCGTGCTCAACATAATCGATTTCCGTTGCCGTATTCATTCAAGGATATGAGCTCCATAGATCATGAGTATTCTCAAGCTAAAGTGCACTTTAGACGATTTATAATTTTTAATAATATACTATTACTTTGTGCTACATATAATATGTCTAAAGCAATTAAAAAATTAAAATATACATAAAATTACAATTTTAAGGAGTCCCAAAATTTTTAATTTAAGGATTTGTAAACGCAAAAATCTAATTTTTCAAAAATCAGTAGAAATAGGAAATTAGGAAAGAATTAGGAAAAGGACAGTCTCTGTAGTATGTTTGTCTCTATAAGTTATAATTTTAATAATTTTCGGTTTTTACTTGCTTTTCGACTTTTAATTTACACGTAATGAATTTCATGTAACTGATTACGTTGATATAGTTTGACTGTTAATTCAATCTATGAACATCATGTATATCTATATTAATTTGATGAACAGAGATTAATTTGAATCTGGAACATTGATGATTTTAATTAATTGACTCTATTTTTCGCGAATAACGAAGAATAAGCTCAAAAATTGAACTTCATTGACATACTAACGCTTCACGACTGTTAATTGAGGAGCATTATGGTGTATTCTTACAATAAAACGAAAAATTATAACAGAAAGTGAAATGAAGTTCTCATAATTATTGCGATATTTTATTAAGATATAGAAAGTTAATTGAATTTATACACGACTGAGGAGAGTTAAGCTCAAAACATCCTGTAAAAATGTCATCATCAGAAAAATAAAATATATTTTTGTTTATCGGTCATTTTAACGTTGCTCGTTCAATATAATAGACCTTATATTTTAATTTGTTATTGCTTAGGAGGAAAGAGAGGATATAAATTAAAAGTCTAAATATTAAAATTTTAAAACCAATTTCCAATTTTTTTTTATTTGTTACTTTCTTTCTTTTTTGTATGTGCATTATACCTAGAAGATTATGACCTAGAAAGGAATGGGATTCTTTAATTATTACTATAATTAAGTTAAAGAGGAAAGAATCGACAGTTAGTCTTCGAGTTTCGCTCTCGAGAGGAATTTCCGCTTTTTAATCTCTCAATGTTTTTCCTCGTAATAAAAAATAATAAATATAATTCATATTATGTCAAAGATATACATACATAATAAAATATAATAAAATATAATAAAATTTTGATATTATCAAACTTGTATTATACATGTATAACATAAACATTTTTATTGTCTAATTTGTACTATTAATATTGTTACAAATAATAATACGCAGTTCTATTCATATTTTAATATTTTAAATACTTTTGTATATAGTTTTCCTATATAGTTTCATTTATAATACAATTCTAACGTATTGGAACATCAATCATACCCCAAGGCAAATGTATCTCATGAACACGTACAAATACGAACACACATACGCGCGATAAAGTGTGCGATCTGATTCTGGAAATATATCTGGCAAAGTACTTTATATTACTGAGATCGAGTCCAAACGTACGAGATAAAACCAGATCTTTCTACGCTTTTCTAGCTTTGTTCGAGAGAAAGACACATGCAATCTCTAGTTCTTTCTTTAATGTTCACTTTTCTCGATAAAAGTCAGATCATATTACTCCAAAACGGAAATTTTTCATTGGTTACTTATTATAAATACGAAATTATATAAACTGGCAAGATAAAACGTTATCGCGTAACGTTATCATATCCTTGAATTTTATTTATTGCAATATAAATTAACATGAACGATTTTCATTATTGCAAAATTTGATATTTAAATTTGATATATAAAATAAATAGTTTGAAGGCAAACATAACATCAATTTATTCAGCAAAAATAAATATTTATTCAAATTTCTTCTTAAGAATCAAATTTTTTATATTTCAACAATATTTATTTTACTTACATTAATCAATAATAATATCTATCAAATAACAATTTACACAATGATTTATAATTTTTTTGATATGCAAGTACAAATCTAACGATTAAAAAATTTTCAAATATTAAAATAGGTTTTTATTCAAGAAGGAATGTATTTATTGTATATCAAGATTTTATTAAAAATAATAGCAAATACTTATTAATGTAGTAATTTACTGAGACAGGAACATATGCAGACTTCTTAACATTTTTTTCAATCACCTAGTAATTCTATACTACGATATTGAACTTCTTGAATAACAGACAATGTTTTTTGTAATATTTCGGCATGCACTGCTGATTCGTCTTGATCAGCGTTTACAATGAGCCAAGTATCGTCTCTTAATTTTTCATAATTGACATTGACACGCTGTTGAAATTCATCATGTTCAAACCTTTCCTTTCCCCAGTCACCACGCAGTTCTTGCTGTTGTTTGGACACCTTGAGAAACACTACACAGTCTGGCTTTGGAAGACCTAAATCAGCCTGCTGACACCAGCTGAGACTTCTGCCAGTGTTAGCTGCTGTATACACAGTGCCAGAAGCTGCATATCTGTCTATCACTAAAGTAGTGCCGGATCGAAGCGTCTTCTCCATGTCCTCCTTGCACTCCCAGCGATTGGCAGAAAACAGTAAGTGAGCAGCCTCCGGTGGCACATTTATCTCTTTTGACAGGAAACTATTTAAAATAGTTCCAACAGGAGTCTTTCTGTCTACAAAAGAAAAATAAAAAAGAAATATTTCTTCAAATACACAAAGTTTAAACTTACAATTTTTATTGGACAAAGATTTCTGGATTATGAATAACTTTATTCCTTGACGTGATCAAGTCTATTATGAAATTAATTTATTTTTTTAAACAACACTATATAATTTATCGAGTTTGCGCGCCCATCCATATTCATAATAACAGGAAATGTAATGATATTAACACAATAAATGTAACAATGACAAAACAATTTAACATTCCGAATTATAAAAATATTCTTCAATTATTATTTTTCGACATTATTATTATGTTTCGTTGGTGAATTCCGAATTTTCGTTGGTTTATATTTACAATATAATAGAAAAATCTTTCCCGCGCAAAATAACCTAATTTCACGACTTGCGGTTTACTGCAACTCACTTGGAAATGCCCTAGCTTTCGCAGGGATCTGCAAATCGTTCAATGCATTCATCAGCATCTTCACTTGGGTCGATTTACCTGCCCGATCACAACCTTCTAAAACTATCAACGCGCCGCGTTTATACATATTCAAATATTAAATGATCACGAACAACTGACGACGCTAGTGACTGGACGATGCCAGCTGATGCTAAATATAGAATAGTTTCTCTCTCCCCTTTTAAATGACTTCGAATCTTCCTCGTTTGCACACTATGTCCATCTAGCGGCCGAAATGAATAAAGACATTGGTCGGATGATAACTGTATGTCCGTAATCATATTTGACAAGAGAAATATAGAAGAAATATATTCTCTTGCAATTTTTTTATATAAAAAAAAAATTTAACCAAATTGTAATTAGTTAAATTATAATTGTAATTAGTTAGCTTGTAATTAGTTAAAAATTCCATTGTTTTTAATATGTCTAAAAAACTTTTTCTCTACCATTTTTTTTCTAATTAACATACACACTGTTTCATTGAATAAAAATATCATTACGATTTATATTTTATATGTTTTGTATATTTTATATACATTTAAATTTTATTTATTTATATAGGATTTATATAGGATTATTATCTTCGTAGGATTAAATTCATATATAATTAATGAATTTTCAAAGATGCAGTAATTATATATCATTATTTTCCTCTTATTATTTTCCTTCTTCTATAACAATTCTATTAATTGTTATTGTCATATTTTGATAGAAATTTGGGATTGTGGTCAAGTGAAAAAAGTCGTTTGTGTGAAATATTTTTTAACACATTATTTTATTTAGTTTTTCCTTAAAAAAAGAATGAACTTGAAATCTCGGTTGTTGGGTTTTGTTCACTTGAATTCTGGCGAGTAATGGGCATTTTTGAAGCGACAATACATACTAA